CTTTATGACTATTTGGGATCTCCTTCTTAAAAATAATAGCTACTGGTTTATACTTGCTGTGTTTGGAATTTATATGTTTTCACACATTCTTAGTAACTTTGTCTGCCGAGATCATAGATTTCTTAAAGTCAGGGACTGGATCCCTTTACCTTGCACTGTCACATGCCATTTCCCCAGAGCAGTGAATAGATGAATAATTTAATTCTGTCTTTATTAACAACATCAGTGAACTTCAGCAGCTTCATATGGCCACTGAAGTGTATGCCAACTTGCGTTTCTTTTTACGTACATTTTTTGTTGCTGGGATACGGTCCATAACCATAGTCCTCAAAAGGTATAAGGACCACCAAGTTTAATTAGGGTTTGCACACCATGAATGCTACTACACGGAGTAAAGAAATAGAAGTTTTGAAAGTGATAAACTTCTATGAATAAAGTGAGCAGACAGAATTCTTAATTTTTGTTGAGGTTAGCTCAAATTGTTAGTATTACAGATTCATAACTCATTGACTTTTGTTAATACATTGAGAATATCAAATATTGAAATCTAGACGAAGAAGAGTTAATCACTTTCTGAAATGAAGTGTTTATGCTACAGAAGTTTCTCAGGGCCCTAATTTAGCAAATTGAGACAGAGATTGGAAAGAGTTACTATATGTCACATATGATGAACGAACTGATAGTTCTCGCAGCCCCCTGGAATTATCTTGTTGTGCTTTGAATATGGAATGTTTGAGAAATCCTTCCACTCACTTTAAACTCTGCAGATCATAACTGCAAGTGGCAGGAAACACACAATGCATACGACCAGGAAGGAGGTCAATCACTCAATTTAAAGAAAAATTTGCAGACTATTGATATAAACAGATGCATGACTGATCATCAAATTTCAGTAATTTTTATACCAGAGATTATGTTAATTTATAAACACTCTCCATGAGATTGAGAGTGACATTTAAAATATCTCTCTCTCTCTCTCTCTAACATCATGGATTAATTTCTGTCAGCCTTTCTCTTATTTTATGCTGGCCATATAATTCAAAGCCACAGGAGGCAAACCCTCGACACTGGAAATAGCTTAATAAAAAATATGATACTAAGTCGTGCTGAGGGACAACAGCAGAATTACAAATGTTTTTAAATCCAGCTAAATGAAAATATTAAATTTTTGGCACTGTAAAAGTACATAATATACTGCATATATTTTTCTATACCTAATGTACACTTAAATTATGTGTGTAAATAAAATTTTCAGTTCATATGTGACCATATTAACACAAGTTTTAGACCATAAAATGCCTGTATTCAAATTAATCCTTTCACTTCTAACCTGATCTAGACTCTAGATAATTATTAGTGAAAAACAAGGACATTTTGTGCTTATTTAAAAATGATGTTCTTTTACTTTTTCTGATTTCCAGTGAATAAAAAGCATTTTAATTCAGAAATAAAATATATGAAGAGTACATTCTTTTGTTATAACTTTTGGAGGTCTGTACTTTGAGGTAATAGTGTGCTTCTAAAAGTTCTTTAAGTCTACCAAAATAAGAATAATTTTAGCAAAATCTGGACTGTAGGTTAATTTCTTTAAAGATATAGTTATAACATTAAAATAATATACATAAAATTTCAGTGTCTGCATTTTCTGTTTTGTATAAATTTCTGCCTCGTATTTGCTTATTAGGTGTGAAATATTGCAATTCCTAAATAGTAAGAAGATATTCCATAATTTTCTTTGCACACTGAACCTGGTATTGTTCTATAGGGGTGGGTATAGAAGAAACTAATTTTAAATATTATATGAAATAAAAAGAACTGTACAATGATAAATTAGAAAATAGAGCCATGTAAACTGTCTATTGTTAACTTTTTTGATAACATTTGATTCTTATACACAAATACTTTTAAAATTAACATTAATAATAAACACTTACATAGCACTGACAACATGCTAGGCATTGCTCCAGATGAGAGAGAGAGATGCTTATTGTTACCCCCATTTTGTAGAAGGAAAAACTGAGGCACAGAGAGTTTAAATCTGTGTTCCCAGAGCTAGTAAAATGTTAGTCTGCAATTGAACACAAGCAGTTTGTTTCCAGTTTCTAGTCTTTCAATTACTACATTGTATAGAAAAGCAAAATAAATAAAAAATAACCAAAGGAGGAAGAATGTAACACTTTTCTTAAAGCTGTGTTTGAAAGTAACTGACTCTATAGAAAATGCTATTTTTGGTAAAACAAACTCTCATGAAAAGAGCAATGTTAATTCCATTTGCAAACATTATTCATGAATTAATTATTGATTGGGTCATATTCATTTACAAAGAACAGCAATGATTGTCACCAGAAATCATGTCCCATGAAAAATAAAATGTGTAGCTCCCCTTCCTTAGAAAGCATCTTAATGCTACACTGTCTCCATTTTTCAACTGAGCTTTCATTGTACAATTCCAATCAAGCTGTAAGTATTTCCAGACTAAAATATTTCACTCTAAACTGCATGCTTTTATTTTTTTCTTCTTAATCAGCACTGTGTCCTACCCCTTTCAATTTGCCACCCGTGGGTCAATGACTTTTAGGGAAGGCTTAGAGATATGCCCTTCTGGGGTGAGATTGTTTTTAGCCTGTGAAGGACGGAGAAGCTGAACAGGAAAGAATACATGAGACATATAAACAAGGGAAGCCGTCTAAGAAATGTAGAATCAATCATTATTACACTGGGCATATGTGATTAAATGTCTGCAAAACAATGAGGCTCATCAATCAGCATCCCCGTGCATTGGAAAATCAGATCATCCTGGGAGAACTGAGACAGCCATTGCGACAAGGCCATCTCCTCACGGTTGCACGTCACAGCAAGTGCACTAGCACGGAAGGCACTTCCTTGATTTGCAAGCTTTTATTTCCTATAATGCAAGATCTCCATATAGAAATGCGATTGAATAGGGGTAAAACATGTCTTTCTGATAGTGACTGTCGCTAATGTGTCGCTCAGCTCTGCAAGAAACCTTGATACCCCGGAGTGCATTAATAAGTACTCAACACAATATGGTTACACCCTTGAAATATGTTACGGATGCACTTCAATGATCCTACACATAAAGTAAGTGTATCAATTAAATACAAGTTACATATTTATGTGAAGGAAACTAAACTTCCAGAATTTACATATATACATATGTTGCTTATTCTCTAACATGCACTGTCACCACAGTTTAACAGCATAGTGTTTCTGCCATTGTGGTGTTAGGTTAGTTTCAACGCAGAGAGTCAATAAGGTCTGATTAAGAGATATAGTTCAAAATATGTCTCTTTTATTTTTTCTATCTTCCTTCAATAACTACTCCTGTGATATTGACTAGGGTGCTGCTCGTTTCCTAGTGGTTGTGCACTGCGCGCGTGTTCAAAATTTTAAAGAAGAAACAGGAAGTGTTATCACCTCTACCAACATTAACTTTGCAAATGTCTGGTGGGTTTAATAGGTCTGAGTATGAAAAGTAAATAAAAACGAAGGCAGTTATCCAGATACATTTCAGCCAGAAAAAAATGGTTTTACTTTACTATATAGCTATTTAAGACAAAATAATATTATTTGTGTGTGAACTTCAAATAATCCCATAATTTTTCCCCCTGCATGAGTAGATATGCCTTTATAGTTTTCTCCTTTATAACTTCATAGTCAGAGCATCTTAGGCCTGAACTCATTTCTTGAGGGGACTTTTGAAGATTTTCAAATTGCAAGCCGGAGAATTGCTTTCCTTGTGCAGAGATGATGACCCAAATCTCTTTCTGCAAAATGTCCTTTTAAAATATGCAATCATTTGATTTGTCACGTGGTCTAAATACTAATTTTCCTTCTATTACTTTAAGCAGATTTGCATGTTTCAAAGTAGGAGAAAAAAAGCGTCAAGGAAAAGCCAGTAAGACATTGCTACTTCAATATTCTAATAAACCATGCTGAGCTTTTACATTAAAAAGCCTCTTTGAGTAAACAAGCTGCATTTATGATAATTAAAGACTACCTTTGCATAGGCTATTTTTAATGAGTCAGTAAATTGCATACATGCATAGAGAATACTGTGAAATGTTTCCACTAAGATGCCATGAAGAAACAACAGTGCAAAGTTCTAAACAAAGCATTTAGCTCAGAGCAGGAACACATAAATAGGAGCAGACTGTAGCTATTCCCCTAATACAGGCCCCAACACACAGTTTCGTACTGTTTGTCATCATTGTAAGACAATCAATTTTATGAACACAGTTCTTGAGTAGTGCCAGACATTAGAATGCTAGCATTCAGAAAATAAAAATCAAAATCTGGAGGGGAGGATGGATAAAGAGGTGAGAAAGAAATGTCAGAACAGAGTTATGCCTGCAGACCGATCACATTTTGAGAATTTGCTGGGAGGCTGAAACTGACCAGAAGTGCACCTGTGGCTGGATAGAGACAGAAAGAAACACAAACCTGATTTGGATGCTTTGAATATAAATGGGGCCAAATTAGCAATAATATTTTTAAGGAACAATCCTGCAAGGGAAGGTAAAGTAACAGGGTGACCCTTAGGGTCTATTAAATTTCTTTCAGGCTATAACATATCTCTCTCATTGCCAGATGATTTCCAAAAATAAATTATATGTACAAAAGTATCCAATACCTCAATTATTTGATAATTTTAAAATACTGTCAATTATTATTAGTAGTGGTATCATCATCATCATCATCATTGTCACTATGCTTTTCACCTATACTATGCTGAAAAACGAGATGCACAATCATACTCAGAACAATGATTATGGTTTCTTTTATCGAGTTGAAAAAGTCAATTTTCTTTCTCTTTTGCCCTTGATTTTAACAGTATTTGCCAAAGTAAACAAGCTTATTGATTTTGGATCTTGCTACTCATATAATGCACCCAAGTTTTTCCCATAATCAATCTGGACATTCTATTTCTCCTACTTATGGAACATTTAAAATCCTATCTCCTATTTATATGTAGCTGCCTGAGAACACAAAGGTCCTTCTTACCTGTGTGGTAAAACTTCCCTGAAAATCCAAGGTTGAAGGTAAAATTTGCAACCTGAGTGCGCAGTAAATTTTGAGTCTCTAGTAATGCCTGAAATAAATAAGAAATTAACATGATTTTAGAAAAATAAATATGAAGTTTGGTGATGCTCTTTTGCAAATGTGTGTCGTGAGTGAAACAAAATAATATGAGCTTTCTTGTTTTGGGGATTTTTGAGGGGTACTGTTATGTAGTTTTCATATTTCAAGTATTGTAATTACTATTGTTATTATTTTTATTGAAGGATACCAATTATGAACCAGGGAAGTCCTAAGCACATTATGGGCTGTTGGGCAATTCTGTAACTGCATGGCACTTAAATCATTTTTCATTTCTGTGTGAGGCATTTCTTGAATTTCAGATTATTATACTTCCTTTCCTTGGGGAAAATTTTTTGGAATTGTCAGATATAGACAAGCCTTGTATTTCTTGGTAAGGAATAGGAGGAGAACTTTTGTTTGAACTGCAATTTAGTATTTTATTTAACTGTACTACCTTCCCATCATTTTTAAAAGCATAATTATTAAGTTGAAAGCTTGGGTTTTTATTTTACAAGCTAAAGAGCAATGTATATTTTATAGGGTATTGCTTGCAAATCTAGAGCTATGAGGAAGGAAATAACACATAAGAATAGATACCCAGAACAGAATTAATAATTCTGTTAAAACATCCTCTAAATTTGACAAACATTTCCCTAATTTCTAGATTTGGAACTATACTATGTTAATTTCTTATTTGTAGACAGGATAAGAACACACTGATAATAGTTAGTTAGAATTAGTCATGTAAGTTTTCTGTCAATCCTTCTATGGTTATATTCCTATGTCAACATATGCATTAATAACATAATTCAGAACTCTTATGTTCTTGGGCTTTTTAGTTTGCTTATTGGTCTGCTTATTGATTCAGAATGTTTTTCTATGTTTTCCAGTGGATTTTTTCTTAAAAGGACTTATTTTCTTCTGACAAAAATGAGAAACTCATTGCAAACTAGGATATTAATAAGAATGAGTTTTGGTTACTTCTGTCCATCTGTTAAGGTGAATAAAGGGCCAGACATTTAGACAGTTTTTTTGGATTAGTCATTGTGGCTAAGAATTTGCTTCAAAGACTTGTGAACCTATTTATTCCTTTAGCATTAAGGGGGTCTCCTGCAAATTAGTTTAATTTACAAAAAAATTAAGAAAGAAATGACCGAATAACTAAAATGTTGATAAACTATATAGTCAGTGGTTATCCAAGATCACAGTTATGCTGGGTGTAATCATGGCCAATCTTATTTAAATATTATCAATTAAACATACAAAGAAAGAATAGACCCACTAGCTTAACTTCATTCCATGAAATACTACAATAAATTTTTAGAAAGATCAAATATTAAAAAGAGGGTGGGGTTAAAATGTCTATTGAACTAGTGAGCTTATTGGTAAATGCTGTGTAATACAGCCTTAAAATAAGAATATTAAATATATTTCTCTTTGTGAATTCCTTTTTCTGCCTCTTTTGCTTTATTCAATGCATAATTTCTAAGTCTCCTTATTTTGAAATATATATGTATATACATAAAATTTGATTTCTCCCTTGCCCTGTTCTCTTCACTCCAATTCCATCCACTCCGTGTCCCTCCTCTGAGTTATCAAAGTCATTCATTATTCAGCATTCATTTATCCACCATCTATTCTTAAACTCAAAAAATATTTGTTGTAGATGAATACAGTGTTGAATTTAATAAGCATGGCCCTTGTAAACTTGGACCTCACTGCCTAGAGAGGGAGAGAGAGATTCAATAGATAGTCACACTAATATGTAATTATAGTTCTTGATAAGTGCCGCAGAAGAAATCTAGATCATGCCGTGATTGACAGGAGCGGGGACTTTAGATTGGGGAAGGGGGCCCAGAACATTTGGTGCTTTCTCAGGGACAAACTAATAAAGATTGAATAATCCATTTTTCCCCAATCGACTGGACATCACCTTAGGCAGTCCCTCGTTATCTTTTTTTTGGGCTCTTAAAATGCCATAGCCTCCAAGAGTGTTCCCATCTTCCATTTCTATCTGTCCCTACAATTGCAGGTCTGACACTCTACGGCCATGCTAACATCCCAAAGGCGGAAAGTGCATGGCACCTTGGGGTCCAGGAGGCTCTCGGTGCATGACTCAATTTTGTCAGTCATTTCATATCTCTAAGCATTTCCTTTATCTGTGAAGTGGCACAATGGCGAATACTTATTTCATTGTATTACTGTGAGAATTACACTGGATAAGGTATGCAAAGTGCACAGCCAAGTTTCTGATAGAGAGCAAGAGCTGAATAAATACTGCTCCTGAGCCCTGAGTGCATCATTCTCTCCCCGTCTGTGAGGTATCCTTGCTGCCTCCAGGTGCATCACTATTTTCCCCAAATCACCATGTTCTCCAGTTAAATTGAACTATCCCCACTTCTGACCTTTCTGCATGACATTTCTCTGGCCTCCCTTTGCCTAGAAAACCTCCCCAGCTCCAAATCCCATTTCTCAAACCTCATCCATTCTTTAAATCTCTGCCCAAATGCCATGTTTTGGTATAAAGCCTTCTCTGATATCTCAAAGCTTTTTCTTTTCTCATCTCTCAAAGTAGGTTTCTAAATTATTTTCTTAAGACTTGCACCACTTTCCACTTAATATTGCATAAACTCTTATTTCTCTCTGTAGTCTATAAGCACCCACAGGTCTATCAAACCTTACTCATTTTTTTGTATCTCATGGTGCTGTGTCTTCATATATGTATTCAAGTATTAAAAGTATGATAAAAGTACATATTAATGCAGAGCAATAAATTGAATCAGTTTAGCTTATTTTTATTAGCAACATTTTTCCAGTGGTAAAATGATGAACATGGCTCATGGGCCATACCTCAAAATAACATAAGAGCAACATAGACAGGAGCTTGCATTTTGCCACGTTTTATAACACAGATGTCTTATAAACTTGTATTGTAGATGTCCTACTAAGACAAGCTCACAGAGACAAGGCAAATGGATTTTATTCCACTGGTGCTAGTTACCTATATGAAGAATTTGACAGATCTTTCTATTATTGAAAGAAACAGAGTTGTCTAGTCACAGCCTCCCAACATGCAATTTTGACTAATGTGGGAGTAAGAATGACAAATTCTATAACTAAAAACAAAACAAATTGATCTAAAAAAAGCAAATCTTAAGAGGTTTCAAGTCTCCCTACTTCAGTATAAGTAAATGATCTTTGGTTTTCAAAATGCAGAGAAAGGAAGTTTTCATACCTTTTAATAATGAAAGAAGAGAGATACAAATAATCATGAATATATAAAAAATCAATTCAATTTTTAAAAATAAAACTTGGAAATAAGTTTAAAATAGAAAAGTGCTAAAAATTAAGAAAAAAAGTAAAAAACCTAAAGAACTGAAATACAGGAAAAATCTAAAATATCAGAAAAATATTAGCAAAAGATAATATGAATAAATGAATATAAAGTTAAGAATCAATTAAGCATAATCAAATTCAAAAAACCCTTTTATTTTGGAAAGACTTGTTAATAAGCTAGAAATAAAATGTCTCACTTTGAGTTAAAAAATCAAATATTAAAGCTTAAAAAAAGCATGTAGGTGTAAATACACTTTTTTGTACCGAATATATTGTGGAGCAACTCTAACTTTTAAAAACATATGTAAAATAAAATGTACTTAGATTTTGGACAATAAACATCATTTATTGTCTTTAATGGTATGTAAGTCATAAAAAACAATTTAAATTGCTTTGAGTTTTTCCTTGCACTATTTATACACTTAGTAACTTGATTGGATATTAAAGGGAATAAATATGTAGCTTATTTTTTAAAGTCCATAATTTGTTATTTTACTAAGCATTAATTGCATTAATTGAATGTTCTCATAATTAATTCCTCAGTATTTAAGAAAGCGAAGTCCAACTTTGTCCCTATATAACTCAGTACTGTTGAAGAGAGCAATGATATTCAAACTTTACTGTGCATAAAATTTTCTAGAGGAAATTGCTAAAATTGTCAATTCTGGGGGTCCACTTGAAAAGATATTATTTAGTCTGCTGTTATAGGGCCCAGAAATGTGCATTTCGTAATGTACTCCAGCTGGTTCTAATAAATGTTAAGTGTTTCCAAGTCACACATATGAAATGAATCACAAGAATGTTTGCCAAATACCTATTCTCAGACTCATCCTCTGGGGATTCTGAATTGGAGAGTATAGGATGGAGCCTAAAAATATGTTTTTAACAGTGATTCCTATAGCTTCAAACTGGAGATTTTTACCATCAAGATGCTTGGGGAAATATTGAGTTAGTGTATTATATATATTAATTTCAAGGTCTGTTGCATATGTCTTAAACCATTCTGATATTTATATTGTTAATATCAGTCTAACCCCTTTCCTAAGTGTACTTAATAAATCATGTATATACTTATATTTTGAAGTAGCCTTATATTTTCAAAGTTTCAAATGAAATATCTCAGGGTGATAGTGTTTGTTTTATTATACTTTTTATTATACTCAAAAACTCAAAAAAAAGGGGCCGGGTGCGGTGGCTCACGCCTGTAATCCTAGCACTCTGGGAGGCCGAGGAGGGCGGATTGTTTGAGCTCAGGAGTTCGAGACCAGCCTGAGCAAGAGCGAGACCCCGTCTCTACTAAAAAAATAGAAAGAAATTATCTGGACAACTAAAAATATATAGAAAAAATTAGCCAGGCATGGTGGCACATGCCTGTAGTCCCAGCTACTCGGGAGGCTGAGGCAGAAGGATCGCCAGAGCCCAGGAGTGTGAGGTTGTTGTGAGCTAGGCTGACGCCACGGCACTCACTCTAGCCTGGGCAAGACAGTGACACTTTGTCTCAAAAAAAAAAAAAAAAAAAAAAACTCAAAAAAAAAAAAACTATCTTATTTATCTTAACTAGATGCTGCTCTGGGAATCAGAGGAGGTTGCTTATATTATTATTTTCCAGGTAGAAAAAATTGCTTAATGGAAAGATTAAATAGTCGCCCCAGATAACGCAATGAGAAAGCCAAA